ACCTTCTTTTCCCCCCAGAGAACCCCCTCTTGACCTGCTAGCCTGCTGCCTATACCCTCCTTCCTTTCCTAAGCCATCCGCCCATGCCTTCTCTAATATGGATTGGTCTCATTACCCTATTGGTATTATGTTGGTTCATTCTCCTGATCCTTCATCGCTCGACTTGGAGGCCTTGGCATAGTTCTTAGCCCATTTCCTCCCCATCTATCATGCTCTCACCCCTATATGTCGGGTCAGCTCCTCGATCATCCCCTTCTACCGTATTTCATGGTCACCCCCTTATCCCTCGCACAGCCTTTCCCATTTTTGAGTTCCCTTTGCTCCATGTCACTCTCAACCCCTCCTTCATAGTGGGTAATGTTATTAAAACTGGGGCCTTTGCGTCCAATGACCCCCCTTCCTCTCTGCCTACCTCCCCCTTGCTTTAATCCTCCACCCTATCTCCACCCTTATCCTTTGCCTCCTAATTCCCCTCTTTCGGAACCTGGCTCCATCTTTGCCCTCAATATTACTCAATCAAGCTTCCTAGGCCCCCTATTCCAACGTCCTTATTTCCGTTGTCCTCCTGACCCTCTGTCCTTTACCCTGAGCATCCCTTCTTCCATCCAGCGACAGCCCGTTCAGCCTTCCTCTGGCAGAATTCCGCAGCTCAATCATTTGTACTTGGAGTCTGACCAAACACAGCAGCCATCTACGTCCAAAGAGGACTCGCCTAGACGAGTTAGCCATGATGATAACAACCACCACACCACCACACACACACACACACATACATGCATACGTATACAAATGTGTATCAGAAACTCCACTTGCACTCCTATATACATGTAATGCACATATACGAGATTGCTCCCCGAGCAACGCTCCAAGAGTAGGGAGCTTCAGCCAAGGATCGATCCACAACATTGGTCCGTGCAACGAAAGGTGGCCAAGATCTTAAAGATCAATCGTATCGAAAGCTATGGTGCCAGACTATCAAAGGAGCGACTAATTTTTCAATTTTTAATTTCTCCTCTGCTAACCCTTTCTTTCTTTTGAATAAATTGTAAGGCTTTTATTCCAAAGTGTTATAAATAAAGCTCCTGGTTATTATTTGTGTGTGTGATCCATTCATTTTCATGTTTTCACATAACACCACTCTTATGCATCGACTATGCCCACTGTATAGATTTCTCTCACGCATAAGTTCAAGATAGCTTCCTATGGCAACGTTCTTTTTTATACTCATAAGATAGCTCCCTAAAATTCAAATTCCGGTACAATATACCCCCCATTTAAAAAAGCACAGCCCTATTCAAGTATTTTGCAAGGGTAATATGGGTATGGCAAGAATAAAGGTCACCTTTTAAAATTTGACAACAGGGAGACGGCAATTAACAATTCTCTGAAGAGTTACGTTCAGAGATGGTTGTAAATAAGTTCAAAAGAATAAAAGTCGCCTTTATTGTTGGAGGCATCGTGAATGACAGAGAACAGACTCTCAGCATGGTCAAAAGCACCTTAAACTCTTGTTTGTTGGTGTTAACCATAGTTACTGGGCTCACCTTCCTTGCTTGGAGATGCCTTGCAAAACCTCGATTCTCTCGATCCTGAAGCGGATCTCAAATGAAACTCAATTTAGTGTTTTTGGGATCTCGCTCCATCTTATAAGGGAACGAGTACCTTCGAATTTACTTTCGCGTTCCTAAACACTATAGGATTTAGTTCCCCACTTATGGTTCGCACTCTCGAGCTCATTGGTATCTAGATTCCAAATAACGGAACACAAGCATCACCATATTTGGCATCCAGATCCCACCAATATGGGATCTTCTTAAAGTTCCTTATTTCATAGAAAACTAAGCCAACATGTTATTGGTTAACAACACCAGAAGCTACATTTTAAAGCCACGGATCCTTATAACTCATACAAGGAACTCGTGTTCTAAGAAAATGGAACTCGCTCCTATAAAAGTTATTCCTCGCTCCATAATATGTTCAATCACTTTTACTAATGCGCTCCTTGAGTTAAGAAACTCAAAAAAATACCCTTGGGAACTTCGCTTCTTGCGTATAGGATCTCACACCTTTATATAATAATTATTAATTCTATGGAATAAAGGAGCTCGATGAATACAAATGGACCTTGATCCCGACATTTGAGGTTGTACGAGCATCGATCCCTAACATAAGGATCTTCAGTATAGCTTTGATTATTGTTGTTGGAAACATCTGTGATTCCAAATCGTTTCTAAAATTGGAATCGCGGAATCGCATGTATGAGAAGTTTCGGAATCTAGGAATTGTTGTCTGTACGATTCGGATTTGAGAAAAACGATTCTCACTATTTCGGAATCACGATTCAAAAAATTAGGAATCGTGTTTTCTATTTGCAATAATCGATGTCCCTTCACGTTTCATACCTAAATGAAATCACACATGACCCCACTTGTTTCAGTGGTTGCTGGAATCGTGAGTCCTAAAAATATGGAATCGTCATTCCTAAAATTTTAGAATCGTTGTCTCCATCAACTTGGAATCAACAATTTCACCATTCCGAAATCGTGATTCTCTCGATATTGGAATCAAGATTCTCCCCTTACTAGAATTGTGAACCAATTCCCTCCGTTATATGAGAGACATATTTAGAAAATATATAAATTTTCCCATTACTACACCATCGAATTTTGGCCTGTATATACTCAGTCCAAGACTCCAAGTACTAATGTCAACCTTTATGATATCTTTATGGACAATCTCATACAATGGACTCGATCAACCCATAACTCCATTATGCCTACAAGGTCTGGAGCTATCTACGGCATACAAGGAGTGAGAACAAGGGCAAGCTCCCTTTTATCTCCTTTCATTGAATTATAAAATAAGTACATGACATAGTAACTCTTCTTTGTTAAATGTAGTTTTGAGTCTTTTGACTTTTGAAAAGGGAGTTATTCAATTTTTAGTCAATTTATCTGATATTTAATGATTAATTTAACCAAAAACAACACACAGGGCACTTCGCTCATCCTTATTATCTTATTATTTTACTTAAAGAAAGCATTTTTATCCTCTTATTCAACTTGAAGACATGACGGTGCCGATCATATATTAAACATTATTACATTAGTAGTTTAGTACCCACACCACTTACCAAACATTATTAAATTTGAAGTGACATTTTTTTAGTATTATTTATTCTTGATAAGAGTTCTTAAAAAGTAACATGGAATGAAGGATAGAGAGTAGTAAATAAGAAAAAAAAATTTAGCATATTACTTATATTTGAAATTTTGATTTTATTGCTGTGTGCAACAACTTCAAATTCTCTCACGCTCTCATACATGTCGCGCTCACTCATGATTGAGCACACATCGAAGGGTTTCTGCTCTCCCTATGCTCACATATTACTCATATTTTAAATTTTGATTTTATTGCTATGTGCAACAACTTCAAATTCTTTCACACTCTCATAGATGTCGTGCTCACTCATAATTGAGCACACATCAAAGGGTTTCTGCTCTCCCTATGGTCACCTTGCTTCCTGACAACATGGATTCGCAAGTCCTTTATACTTTGAATCAACGTTTAGCATAAGTAGAATCGTATTGTTGTGTAGCAAGGAATCACGATGTTCGCGATATAGAAAATTGATTCCAAACAACATGGATTCGCAATTCCAAAAAATTTGGAATCAATGTTTCTCACAACCAGAATCGCATTCTTGTATAGCTAAGAATCATAAAGTCCTCGATATGGAATCTTGATTCCGGCAATCCAAGAATCGAGATTCCTAAACTAGGTGGAATCGTGTTCCGTAAAAATTGGAGACGTGATTCCTTTCTTTTATAATCGACTTTCGCCCAAGAAAACGTCGAATCGAGATTCCGAAACGGAATCGCTACCCTCATAGGGGATTCGGGTAACTATAGCTTCGATCCAACGATCCTGCCCCCAATCCTAGAACCATTCCTGTTCCCGTACCTAATAACTATGGTGTTAACTACACCAAAGGTCCATCAAGAAGTAACTGAATGGCTCACAATTTATCTACATTACAACCCCCATGCTCAATGGGTTTTGTGTACCAAGCAAACTACCATCGAAACAGAACTTCCATCACTCCCTCAAGTTGGGCTCTGCTGTGAAGCATGTGTGATCGTCATTTGGATTCAACACTCTGCCACTATAAACATTCTGAAATCAGGTCCCATGTGGAGAGGCCTTAGAACTCTTTATGCATTCCGGTCCAAAGATGTAATGTTTTTTAATTATGTATTGTTTTGTAATAAACCTTTTCTTTAGATATAAAATATTCGAGGAAAACTATGATAGAAGTATCATAGCAAAATGAAAAATCAATATTATGAATTTTCTGCCACAAAAGAGAAAAGATGGAATGCTATTAATTAAAAAAAGGTACCTTAATGCTAATGCCTTTTCAGTGCATCACATGAAGAACCATGTAATCATGGCAAGCACAAAAAGAAGCATTGGTCAAGTGCAAGGACTTCAAATCCATGCTTTTCTGAGTATCCCGCTCTAAACAAAAAATTTTGAGTGCTCTTTTTCAGTTTATCATACCAAATAATAAGGAGAATAACAACAACAGTAAAAATAATAATAGTAGTAGTAATAACAATAATAATAATAATAACAATAACAACAACAACAATAAAAATAATAATAATAATAATAACAACAACAACAACAATAATATTTCAAACCCATGCTTTTCAAATCTTAAAGAAGTTAAAGTCTCCACAAAAAAGTAAAATTTATTTCAAGTCAGCAATAAGGTATCTTGACACTACTTCCAAGTTTAATTAAGCAAATATAATTTGATGTGTTTCTAAATGTTCCACATCTTACCTAAGGAGCACAGCAGGACACAAACCACGTCATTTCTCAACATAGGAGCTCCCTAATACCTTTATGGTGTTTGGGTGAGTGTTTGTGAATCAAGACTGTACGATAATAGAAGAAAGATAATAATAAAATTGCCATGGATCAGGAAGAACCTGTCTTGTTCCATCAGAGAGATAAGGATTGCGATCAGTTATTGGAAGAAGCACATGCTTGAACTGTGAAAAAGTATCAGCAGCTTTATTGTCTTCAGATGCTTGCAGCTCCGCACTTACTGAAAACACTAAAACAGAATATGGTTATGGAAAACGAACACAATTATTTATTTTGCCAAATGAAACAGTGCATTTCAAATTATTGGTGAAATGCTAAAACAGAAAAGGTACACGAAATAATAAAACAACTCAAAATAAAAAGTGCATTTCAAATTATTGGTGAAGATAGTATCAAGAATTAAACAATAAATGAAATAGTTAAACCAACATGTCGCTCTTGCTCCCAGATCTCACTATACTGCTTTAGGATAGGGATCTCCATGGAAATGTTATCTTTAACTTTTGGGATCTCAATCCCCACTTTTTAGGGATTATTCCTAGCCACTCAAGGCGCAGCAAGAGGCCAAGAAGATGAACCATTTGGATCTTAAATGTAATCGTACTCTCTGTCTCTCTATAAATGCTTTTGGAGGTTGTAAAGTGTAAACTTGTAAATTAAGCATCTTGATATGGCTTTTAAGGTTGTAAAGTGTGAAATTATAAATAAGTCAGATTTCATCAATACAAAACCAACTTCCTTTTATTGTTATCAATTATCCGGATGTGCCTCATCATGATATTATTTTTATCTTATTGATTAAATAAAAATGTAATTAGTACATAATTAATTCTTTATTGTACATTTTTGTGTGAGCATTTTTAATGCATTTTGTGGGATTATTATTTTTTAATTTCAATAAAATATCTAATCTTTAAACACTTCTTCTTAAATAATTTGTATGTGCATCCATAACTAGGGAGCTTCTAGCTCTACCCCCCCCCTAAAAAAATAAAACACAAAACATGCAACAACTATAAATGAGCCAAAAGATGCATGAAAATCAAATGTCCTTCTTCAAATTTTAAATAAGAATCAAAATAACCAATAGTAAAATAGATGATCCAAATTGCAGGAATTGGTGGGTCCAACTAACCAAGAAACAACTCACATAGCTCCAACTACTCTATAAACTGTAAGCTAGCAAAAGAAGAGCCTAGAACCCCTCTTTCAAAAAAAACCTCTCGAAAGAGGAAACCAATCATTTCCAGTCTCTCTCGGCAGTCTTACATTCAATTTTCATTTCAACACAAGGGAGGGACGCCATGGTATGGACTCTAGCCCCTCCAGGTATCTTCACGGTAGCCTCATTTTATAAAAGGCTAATCCAAAACCCCACCTATCCCCTTAATCCTACCTCGGTATTGTCACAATGGACAAACTTCAAACGAGAGATCTCAATCTCCAATAGATGTGTCATGTGCTTAAGTGAGGAAGAATCCAATCCCCACCTACTTATCCTCTGCAAGTTTACCCACAACCTTTGGAGCCAAGTATTGCAACTCTTTGGCATCCAATGGATCATGCCTCCAACGGTCAACGCCGTGATTTCTTCGGATCTTGCGTCACATTGGCCGAAGGCTAGAACAACACTGTGGAAGGCTACCTTAGCCGCTACCATATGGGTAATCTGGGTAGAAAGAAATACCAAAATTTTCCAAGCACACAAACTTTAAATATCAGCACTCTTTCACAAGGCTACTTCTTTGGCAACGTTTTGGGCCTCAAACCACAAGGTGTTCACGTGCATGTCAGGGAACTCCTTAGCCAATGGGGAAACATTCTCAACCATCAACCACTAAAGGTTCAAAGACCAAACAACTAGCTGCCACCACCAGAAGGCACCATCAAGCTCAATTTTGATGGATGTTCTCTAGGGAACCCTGGCCCGGCAAGAGTTGGGGGAGTCTTTAGAGATCATCATGGCAATATCCTCTTTACCTACTCTGAGGACCTAGGCCTCAAAGATTCTCATTACGCTGAAGTCATGGCCCTACTATTGGGTCTGAAAAGCTTCAACCGTTCCTGGGGACCACACCTTTTAGTGGAAGGAGACACACAAAATATTATTTCTTGGGCAACTGAGAAGACACCACCTCCATGGTACTTAGCGTCGATTTTTGATGAAATTGCTCACATTTGCAAGGATACGGACGCCTCATGGAAGCATACCTGGAGGACGTCCAACGAACTCGCCGATCTCATGGCGAAAGACGGGGCTAGAATCCAAGTAGAAGATCTCGCTGGGTCCAACTCCTTTTTTGCTCTGGACCACAAGCACACAGCATAGAACTTCTTTTGTATCCGGGCATATCGATAGGCCCAATTTTTTGAGAACTTCTAAATCGTTGTAATCGGGCAGGTTCTATAAGCCCATTTTTTGTACATGTTTGGTTGACCCATTTTTTACCGAGAGATCCACCTTGAGGGTGCTCTCGAACCACCATACCTCTGTAATCTCACACTTCTTAGCAATACAATGTTAACTTTACCTAAAACAAAATAACTGTAAGCTAGCAGACAAAAGTAAACAAACAAACGCAATAGCATCATCATTCCATCATCCATGCGTTATCCCAATTATTTGGAGTTAGCCACACGGAATGTACAAAATTCGGCCACCCGACCACCTAGAAGGCCTCAAATTGCCTAGGCATGGCCAAGGCCCGGACGGGGGGTGGTCAGGTGGACTTGTTTAAGGCACCCGCCTAGACGGGTCTGGGTGCTCGCTTGGGCCACCTCCTTAATTTTTTTCTTTTATTTAGTGAGAGAAAATTAGCTCTATGGAGAGATTTTTTATTGTTCATACTATTCATTCATTTTAGAGATAAAAAGAATCTCTCCCTTGTATGGTTTCAATTTGTAAAACAATTAATATTAATGCCAAGCAATTTGCAAATGTATATAAAAGTAATATTAATATCATGGTTATATGCATGTGTTATTGCGTAAATAGCTACATGTGTGCTTTTAAAGAACTGTACCCTCTCTCTCTTCTAAAAATTAAAGAAAGGTATTTTACTAAATAAAAGGAAACTTTACCTTTTTAAGAATTGTACCAAGTACTTTACTTTTGTAATGAACTAAAATTAAAGAAAGGATACTTTATTGCAAAAGGATACATGCAAACCCTGCCCCCCCACCCCCAAAAAAACAAAAACAAAAAAAATTAAAATTAAAAAAACCAACAAAAAACGAACAAAAAAAACCAAGGCCAGCTAGGCAGCCGCCTCTGCCTTCTTGAACATTGCCTACATGAACCATGTTTTGCCATTCCGATCTATCTAGGGTCATACCCAATGTCAATCTATAATCTCTTCGCACTACTTCAATTCATATCCTATTGGGGCCTTCCCCTTGCCCTTTAGAGCCGTCCACTTGAACCAAATCACCCCCCCTAACTAGTGTAGTTCTAAGTCGATACTACATATGGCCACACAAGCTCAATCTACTTTCTCTCATCTTATCACCTATTGGAGCCATGCCTAAGTCCTCTCGGATGTATTCATTTTGAATTATAGCATTTCTCGTCATGTCACTCATCCATCCCAAAATCCTCATCTCCATTATGCTCATTCTACGGATATGTTATTTCTTAACCCCCCCAAAAGAGATGGATTAGGTATTCAAAGGCTAAGTAAGCAAGTGCTAGAATGGTCTTGGGTTTTCTTTTGGATTTTAATTTTAGTGTTCAAGGGTGGAATTTTACATTTTAATTTAGGGATTGTTATTTTTATATGGCTTTTAGTGGCGGCTAGAAAATTTGTTGGGGTCATTATTTAAAGGGCTACTCTAGAATACACCAACCTCTCAAGTATCTTAATACTCGAGATATAGCATCTCAGTACTATCTACCAGGGCAACGTGTATATCTACTAAGTTTGGTCGTCGCATACACGAATGGTCTTACTATCATCCTGTAAGACTCCCCCTTCAATTTCATTGGTATGTGACAATCACATAAGCCGCTAGAAGCACATCCAGTGATTCAAAAGGCGGACTGCCAAGCACCTCGGCCGCTGCCTAGGCTGTCCAGAAGGCCTGCGCGCATAGCCCAGGCCTAGGCGGCCAATTTGGGCGGTCGAACCCTGGGCGGCCGCCTAGGCAGTACGGAACCCGCCTAGACGGGCCGCTCAGGGCCTGTGCCTCGCCCAAGAGCAGAAAAACCATTCGATGAAGGCATTTTTCGTCTTTTTTTTGTTTTAAGGGCTAAAAATTAGGGTTTTAGGTTCATTTGAAACCTAAAACTTGTTGGAGCCAAATTTAGAGAATTTAGAGAGAGAAAGCCCCCAAAAAACTAGATTGTGGTGAATTTTTTCAGATCGAAGGGTTACTCAAAGTTAACAAAAATTGATCAAAACATCACCCATTGGTATTATATTTACTTCTTGATGTTTTGCAAAGTTATTAGGAGGTTTTTTAAAAGATTTTGAGTATTTAGAAGCATTTTTGAGGTGGAAGTTTGAAGATTGAGCAATCAAACTCAAAGTAAGTGATTTTTTTTTTATTGCTTTAGTAATTTGCATTATTTTTGAGATGTCTTATTTGGGATCTCATAGGAGTGGTGATCCCGGTTTGAGTCTTCAAGTATTACTTTCATAATTCAATTTTGTTTTCTTCCTCATGGTGGTGTACTGGATTCAACTCGACTGCCCATGTTCCGAGCGCCCGCCTAAGCGCTGGGCGACCTGGACCCGCCTAGCGCTTTTTGAAACTATGAGCACATCTCAACTTCGTTCCACCAAGCTCTAACTCTATGGGCAACATCTTCCACAATCTCTCCATTCTCATAGATTATCGACCAAGGGTATCGAAAATAATCTCTTTAAGGTACCTTTTGGCCATCAATCTTAACCAATCTTGTTTTTACTCCTATTATTACTAGAATTGCATTTCAGATATTTTGTCTTGACTTACTTTTAAAATCTTCAGATTCTAAAGCATCCCTCCAAAGTTCTGACTTTGAGTTGACGCCGTCTCTAGTCGCATCAATTAAAGTAATGCCATCCGCAAACAACATACACCATAGGACCTCATCCTTTAGATGCCTAGTTAACACATCTATAAACCAAAACAAAGAGCTATGTGCTCATTGCCAACCCCTGATATAGGTTTATTGTCACTGAAAAACTCACTTCTCTCCACTAATTGTGCTAACACTAGTTAACACTTCCTCTACATATCCCTCAC